GAGGGGGTCTTGCGTAGCGCGAGTATACCACAGATTGAATTTCTGTCGTTGCTCGACCCGGAGAGCATCAAGTTCGGTGGGCTGTAGGTGGGCGGGGGTGGCCCAAACTTGTCTTGTGGATTCGTCAGAACTGCACAGCCAGAACTGCGTCGACGAAAGACGGGCACCATCGATGAAGTCCCGCCGCCTCTGGGCGGGGAGAGAGGGGGAGGGGAAGGGAAGTGACAGAAAGAGCGAGAGAGAGAGCGAGAGAGAGAGAGAGCTTGGTTAGATACATGATCCTGTTCAGGAAGGTTCCTGGCGCGCTTGTCGCGGATGATCTTTGCTGTTGCGGACTTAGGGGCCGAGGCGGGGAAGGGGAGCTTCTTCTCCGCTTGACGCTTCGCAACAGTTTCGCACTCGACTTTCCGGGCGTAAGATCCTTACATCGGGCTTTGTTGGAGACCTTGAGGAGGGTTGGAGAGAAGGCGGAGAGCGCGATGATGAATATACGACGCCAAAACCGGTTGGAGACTATATATACAGTATAATTTATTTCGGCAACAAGAAATCCTCCTGTAGCTCAGCTGGAAGAGCATCAGACTGTAATTCAACCTTGTCATCTGGGGGTCCCCAGTTCGATCCTGGGCGGGAGGACAATAGCATCCGGTGGTACCCAACCGGTGCCCAACCTTTTGCCTCTGTTTCGCCGTTCGCTCCCTTTTGCGCAAGGAACCTGTTAGTTTCTTCGGGGCGGGAAAGAGGAAAAGGGAAAAAAAGAATCGTTCCCACCGCGAAAATCTCCGCCGAGATCAACTGCACAGCCACTTGCGCCGCCTTCAAAAACACTTCGAAAAAAAACTTGCCTACATATACCCCCGTCGCCCGGTTCCTTGTATCTCCCGTGAGAAACATGGCGAGATGGCCGAGTTGGTCTAAGGCGTCAGGTTAAGGCCCTGATCTCTCCGGAGGCGTGGGTTCAAATCCCACTCTCGTCACAGCGCAATATCTGATAGATAAACGTTCTGGGCGGTTACCGTCCTTTTGATTCCTTTTTGAAGGTGCGACATGTCATAAACGAACGACCTCTCTCCCCATCTACGTCTGTCCATTCTTCGGCCCATTTCATCGTGTTCAGCGGGCGGAGGAAAGCTTGAGCGTCATACACCATGTACTAGTGAGAGTAGCGGATCAGTCCAAAAGGTGGACGGGAACGCGCTTTCCCCGGATCACGTCGAAACCCGCCATCTGAACACTTCTCCTAGTAACATAGCACTTCTCGGATGCAAAACCCCTTGGACACTGAACAAAGATCATCCCTTTCATAACCCATATCAGAGTATCTCCATCTCATCCCAATCTCGTCCTCCATTCCAACAACATCCACCGGTTGAACGCATCAGGCATCAGCCATTCCCGCAAGGTTCTCATCATCCGCCCCCTCAGATGAACAAACCAGGCAAACAGGTACGGGTCAACTCTACTCTCCCCCCTTCTCCCTCTCCTCCCTCCACTCGATCCAACGTTCCTCCCCCCGTCCCAATCTCCGTCATCCGTGAAAAAGATTCTGAACGACGACGAGAAACTCGTCCTCGTCTCCGAACTCGGTCGTCTCCTCCAACTCGAGCGTCGCTCCCTGTCCGCCAACGATCCCGTCCAGGCGACCCGTCTGCACAAGGAGCGGAAGGACCTGGCCTCGCGTCTCTCGCAGGAGGAGGACAAGGTCGACCATGACCATGACGTGGACGTGGACGTGGACGATGACGATGACGTGACCATGAGCGGGAGGGGAGGCGCTCCTCTGTTCTGGCAGGATCCGGAGGACGTGAGGAGGAGGGAGGAGATGGATCGAGAGAGGGAGAGGCAGAGCAGGAAGTCTGCGAAGACCGGGAAGACGATGCGCAAGAGGGAATGACAAAGTGGAGATGAAAGGGAGCAGTCGAAAAAGGGAAGCGCGGAAAAGAATATATATATATAACGATGGGCTGGCTGGCGACAAGGGGGGTTTGGGTCGGGGTCACGGGAGAGAGAGAGGGAGAGGGAGCGAGTGGGAACGCAAGAGAACAGCATGTACAGGAAAAGCCCGCGCCAAAGACCAGCACGCGCGTGGGAAGATGTAAGGGGTGGGTGAGAAAGACGGGAATGAGGGAACATGGGACAAGAAAAAAGACAAGAAAAGGACATAGGGAAACGACGACGGTGTAAGGATGGATCAGGACTACGAACGGACCCTTCAGCATCGTCGAGAATCAACGAACGGACCGGTGCCAAAATGATCTGAAAAGGTCGTCAGATGCGTCAGATCAGACAGCCCGTTCCACCACTCTCTTGGACCGAATTTTTCCTCCTACCCGATACGAAGGATGAGATAACCACCGACGCCGACCCCCAGGACCGCACCGATGATCCCCATGATGGTCCACCTTCCCGCCCCTCGAGGTCTCGGCTTGGGTGCCGAGGGAGACGAACCGTCGGACGTCACGGTGGCGGTCTGTCTGTCGGCTCTTCGTCTTCCCCCGCGACGTTGGTTTGACGTGGGATGATGATGTCCGACCGAGGACGAGCACGAGCAGGTGGTGGTGTTGGAGATCGTCGTGGACGCGGATGTGGATGTGGATGCGGATGGTGGATCAACGGGCGGGATGATGATGACGGGTTGCGCTACATCGATGAACTTTTCCTCCGCCTTCTGCTGCTCGTGCTCCTTCTCCGGTTTCTCCTC